AGACCCAAGCTCCAGGAGATGGTTCCTTCTTGCCTTTCGCAGGCGATGGGAGCACTGCGGTATTTGCTGGGGCTTGAATATGTGCAGAAATGGGGGCGTCATCAAAGCAGGATCGTGTGCAATCGCGGCGCTGCTTGGCGCCGCTTGGGTTGACGGAAGCAATTGACAGGAGAATGTCGATCGGCGCTGAAGTGGTGACTTGGATTTGACGGAAGGTGGGAGTGGGTGACTGCTGTTTGGTGGTGATGGGAGCCGGGAATTGACGGACACCGTCAGCACGTAACTGCTGTAACTGCTGTACAGTAGCTAAACTTAAACGTGCCTTGTGCGCCGCAGCTTGACCAGTTGGTACTTGATGGTGTGTCTTGGTATCGGAGTCGCAACTGTTACGCAATGAGGTGACAGACGCGTTGGCCTGTAGCTGACGTTGTTGTCTTCGAGTTGAAGTGTAGAAGCTTGGACGTGGTGGACCCGATCGCGGAAGCGGCAGCTTCTGCGTCTTCCTTTTACCCAAAATTTGCTGAGCAAAAAATACGCTCACATCAGGGGCTCTGGAGTCGTGGTGAAGACGGTGGCCGTTGTTGTCAAGGGTGTGGCTGGCAACAAGGCATGTTGGTAACTGACCTTGCGAATAATGTACCTGAAGTAGGTATAGAGATGTTGAGCTTAATCTGTGTAAATTGATCTAAGTCGAGTTGACTTGCGTGCGGTTTGTTATCGTGGCCCAAGAGCGGCTAGAGCACGGATGTTAGCGTTGTAGCGGTGGCTGAGGTTGGTTGTTGGAAACGGTACAAGTGTGTCGTTGATTGTGGCGTGCGGGTGAAAGGTTGTGTTGGGTTGGGGTTGTGCCAGTCGTGTCGGTTAGTAGAGCAAAGTTCGGAAGAAAGACTCGGTAGGTCTTTCTTTCTTTCTTCACCACCGTGTAGTTGGAATGAACAATGCGGTCGAACTTCCGTCCGTCGGGGCCGTCGTTGTGCCTCCGATGGGCTTTTATGTGTAGTCATAAGTACGCTTACGGATCACTGTGTCGAGTGTCAGCGACGCAGCATCCTCGAGATCGACACACGGAATCGACGTCCACGCGGTCGACGGAAGTCTGCGGCTAGGCTTGCTGGACGGAAGTAAGATTGGATTGTCACTAGTTCAACCCATCGCAAAGTCATTGAAACCTAAAGATACTTTCCCCAACACCAAGGATGCACTTGCAAGGTATTCAAACACTTCCTAAGTCTAACGTCACCTAGTAGCTTTGCATACGAGCTCGCCTTATACAAAGCATCGATCTGCTGGTAGGATTAGTCCTTCACAAGCGCCATCGCCATGCTGCAATACATGCTCGGTCAAGATTGCAACGGTTTGTACTAGGCTATGTAGGCGCGCCTGGTGCTTGCACCATTTGAAAGATTCCTCGATGATCTGATATCGTCGCCGTCGTGTTCGGCGTCATTTTACTCGTTATCAAACGGAATATTGGCCATACGATCCTGTTATTGCTCTATGCTCACAGCGAGATCAATCAACAATGCCATCGACCAATCCGTTGCATTATCACATGTCTATATTTGAGGTCGGAGAACGGTGCTTATTGCGGGTTCCCGCTGGATTATGAGTATCTCGCACGTCCTTGGAGGTGTTGGGGGATCTTGAGTGCATTCCACTAAGTGCCTTCTTTCAAGTGCGCGGCAGAACGGTCCAGAGAAACTTAGGTGTGCGGAGTTTCCGGACGATTTGGCACGGGGCTTGTTTGCTTTCCGGGGGCAAGACGCTGATAGAAGCATGTTAGCTGAGAGGTGCTGGCGTGTGGAAGTCAGGTACGTGGTGAGACCCAAGCTCCAGGAGATGGTTCCTTCTTGCCTTTCGCAGGCGATGGGAGCACTGCGGTATTTGCTGGGGCTTGAATA